GCCATACTTTGTCAACAGGACCTAGGTCTGGCACACGGACATCACCGGCGGACCGTTGTCGTCATTATGAGGGCATGGCGTATTGTCATGCGTCGTCCCACCCACGACCTGGGTCGACAAGGTGCCGAGATGTCGTTACCTACTTCTCCGCCTCAGCCCAAGTCTCGGAGGTCTACCCGGTTGCCTCCCGTTGGGTACCGCGTCTCATTCTCCCCGCGCATAAGCCAGCATACCCATGCCGATTTCCCGCTCGCCGCGAATGACGATATTGGCGCCCAAGCCGCGCAGATAGGTATCCTCTTCTTCGGAATAGGCGCGGGCAACGATGAGGATGGATGGATTGAGCTTGCGTCCCGTCTCGCACACGCTCCCCGCTTCAAAGCCATTGGAAATGGCCAACATCAGAGAACGGGCTTCCCCGATATTGGCCATGCGCATGACGTCAGATGCGGCAGCATTGCCGAACAGAACCTCAAATCCGGCCTCGCGCGCCGCCGAAACGTCATTATCGGAATCCTCAATCACCAGCACAGGGGCGCCGCCGCCCTTCAAGCCGTCGGCAATAATACGGCCCACCTGTCCATAGCCAACCAGTACCGTATGGTCGGTGAGAGTTGTCGGCGCTGTCGTGTCGTCGTCTGCGCCCGCGGCGCCCACATTCACCGCCGCCTGGGTCGGGAGGTCTGTCGTCAGTGGACCCGTTGCCGCTTCTACCGGCTCGACGGGTTCGATCCGTTCGCCGCGCGCCCCCTTGCGATCCGCAAACCGCGTCTCAAAGCGCGGCTTGAGCAGATCGACGGCCCAGAACACCAGCGGATTGAAAACGATAGAAATCAGCGCGCCGGCCAGGATCAAGTCCTTGCCTTCGGTGGGCAAAATGGCCAGTGCCACACCCATTGTGGCCAGGATGAACGAGAATTCGCCAATCTGGGCCAAAGATGCCGAAATAGTCAGGGCGGTCCCCACCGGCCTGCGGAACAACAGCACAATGCCAAAGGCCGCAAGGGACTTGCCGATGACGATGATGAACACCGTTGCCAGCACCGGCAGCGGGTCGGTAATGATGATGGCGGGGTCGAACAACATGCCGACCGACACGAAGAACAGCACCGCAAAGGCGTCGCGCAGCGGCAGCGTTTCCTGCGCCGCCCGGTGGGAGAGCTCGCTTTCGCTGAGGATCATGCCGGCAAAGAACGCACCCCGCGCCAGCGACACGCCGAACAGCACTGCCGAACCGAGCGCCACGCCCAGCCCAATGGCCAGCACGGCCAGCCGGAACAGCTCGCGCGATCCGGTATGGGCCGTGCCATGCAGGGCCCACGGAATAATGCGCCGCCCCACGATCAGCATGAAGCCGACAAAGGCGGCGACCTTGACGATGGTCAGTGCCAAGACACCCCAGATTCCGATCTCAGTGCCAAGAATGCTCTCCACAAAAGACACGAACGGGTCGTGGATACCCGTATCGGTGCCGCCAAGACTGGCAATGGCGGGGATCAGCACAAGCGCCAGCACCATGGCCAGATCTTCCACGATCAGCCAGCCAACGGCGATGCGGCCGCGCTCGGTCTCGATCAGCCGCCGGTCCTGCAAGGCCTTGAGCAGCACCACGGTAGAGGCAACCGACAGCGCCAGGCCGAACAGCAGGCTGCCCCCGAGTGGCCAGCCCAGGCGCAACGGGGCATCCTCGAGTTCAGCTACGCCGACCACGAGGCCGGCCAATACATGTTCCACGCCCACCAGGCCGAGTTCACCGAACTGGGCTGGATGGGAATGTTCGACGTGGTGGAGGGCTAGGCCATGACCGTTTCCGAGACCCGGGGCGCTCAGTCGCCCGACCGCCCGAACCGCCTGCTCCTTCTGTGGCTGCTGCTGCCCGTCGTGCTGCTTGGCATTGCCATCGCATGGATCGCCAATGCCGACCCGCTGCGCAGCTTCAACAACGGTGCGCCGCCGGTGGAGGCCGTCACCTACGAGAGGACGATCCTCGACGGCAGCGGCATCCGCGTCCTGGTTCGGGCCGGCGGGTCGGAGGCCATGACCATCGCCCAGGTCCAGGTCGACGACGCCTATTGGACCTTCACCCAGGACCCGCCCGGACCCATCGCGCGCGGCAGCACGGTCTGGCTCGCCATTCCCTATCCCTGGGTGCAGGGCGAGGCGCACGCGATCAATATCGTGACCAATACCGGCGCCACCTTCCTCCACGAGATCCCGGTCGCAGTGCCGACGCCGGTCCCGACGCAATCGCTCCTCTGGCAGCAGGCGCTCATCGGACTGATCGTTGGCGTCCTGCCGGTAGCCATCGGGCTGCTGTGCTATCCGGCGATGCGCGGCGTCGGTGCGGGGGGCATGAACTTCGTGCTGGCGCTGACGATCGGGCTGCTCGCGTTCCTCCTGGTTGACATGTCGCTGGAAGCGCTGGAGATGAGCGCAGCCTCGGCGGTGCAATTCCAGGGACCGTTGCTGGTGCTGCTCGCCGCCGGCGCCAGCTTCATGCTGCTCATGGCCATCGGGCGCTGGCGCGGCGCGCCGGTGGGCCTCGCGCTCTCGTTCTACATCGCGCTCGGCATCGGGCTGCACAACTTCGGCGAGGGGCTGGCGATCGGTGCCGCCTTCGCCGCCGGCTCGGCGGGCCTGGGGACTTTCCTGGTGCTGGGCTTCGCCGTGCACAACGTGACCGAGGGCATCGGAATCGCCGCGCCGATCCTCAAGGCAAGGCCGCCGCTCTGGAGCTTCGCCGCCCTGACGCTGCTGGCCGGTGCCCCTGCCGTGGTGGGTATCTGGATCGGCAGCTTGGCCTATGCGCCGCAATGGTCGGCGCTCTTCCTCGGCATCGGCGCCGGCGCCATCGCGCAAGTGATCGTCGAGGTCACCGCCTACATGACGAGATCGAGCGCGGGAGGCAGGGGCACGCTGCTGTCCCTCCCGGTGATCGTCGGCTTCCTCGTTGGGGTCAGTTTCATGTACGTGACCGCCTCGATCATCAAGATTTGATGGAGTTCAGCCCGAGCGGCTGGTCCCACACGACCTCGATTGCTTTCCTGGCCTGCCCACGTCATACTGCGTGGGCGGATGGCGGAGGCTAAGCAGGAAGAGCACGAACGCGCCTTTCATCAGCGCGCCGGCAGCGGCTCGATCATCAAAGTTTCGATGGGCATGCGCCCATGACGCAGGCTTTCATCCCTCTCCCGAGCCATAAAGTAGCCGCTCAAGAATTGAGCGACGATAAAGAACGTCGTCGCCGACTGGTCCAGCGCCGAAGAAGATGCCGCCGCCAGAGAGAATATTAGCTCCGTATTGGAGCCAAGGTACTCGCCATATCCGTAGTCCTGCTCGTCCGACCGCACCTGCGGTCGCGCATCATGCTTAGTGTTCGGTATCTGGCTATCTTCTCTCCGTGGCGCTTTAAGCATACATGGCTGTCTCAGGGGCTGCATGCGGTGCTACCGCATTCTCTGACGTTCGCCACTTTCTGGCGCAGCGCCTCAGTACCTACAGCGCCTGGTATAATCTCATCGCCAAGGACAAAAGTAGGCGTACCGGTGACGCCTAACGCCCTCGCCAATTCGAATGATTCAGCGAGAGGCGCATCGGCAGTCGGGGTTTCAATACGCGTCCGAAGCACTTCGGGGTCGAGCCCGATCGACACTGCAGCGTTCAGCGCGGTCTCGAGGTCCACCTGTCCGCGCGCCGTGAACAGTTCCTGATGGAACGTCCAGTAATCACCGCCCGCCTCAGCCACGAGAGTTCCCACGCGCGCTGCGTCCACCGATCCCTGCGACAAGATGGGAAACTGTCGGAGAACAACCTTGAGATCGGGGTCGGCGTCCATCAATTCAACCAAATCCGGGAATGCGCGGCGGCAGTACTCGCAGTTGTAGTCGTAGAACTCAACAAGCGTGACGTCACCCTGGGGATTACCGACGATCACGCTGCCCAGACCATAGAACAGCGCCTGCCGGTTTGCCTCAATGATCTCCTTATCCTTCGTGCGCTGCTCGGCGTCACGCTGAGCTACCAGAGCCTCTGACACGCGTTCGAGTATCCTGGGATTAGCCAGCAGGTAAGACTCGATACTGGCGTCTAGGGGTTCCTGGGTTTGCCGGTCCCAGGCCAGCCTCTCGTCCACGATCCTTAACACCCGCTCTTCATCAATGACGGGCGGGACCAACCGAGTGAAAACAGCACCCGTCGCCCCCCCGACCATCGCGATCAGGACGATACCCGCCAGCAGCCCGAACCTGTTCATCCGCTGCACTTCCATCCGACCCTCAACTTTTAAAAGCAACCTTTCCAGTCTTGCTTAGCTGGCCAATCCAGCCAACAACACATCAATTGCCCTTATGGTGAGAGACAGCCCTCTCTGAACCACACGAACTCAACGTCCCGTGATTTCCAGCCGCCCGCGTTAGTGCAACTGATCGGTGCCGAAACTTTACCGATATCTACAATCTGCTGAATGCTAAGCAAAGATCAATCGGCGGGGGTGCCGTCTTCTTCCTCATCCAGCAGGACTGCATTGGCGCCTGTCGCTGACAGCCGCACTATGTTGCCTTCCACGATGGCGACCAGGCCCCCGGGAATGTAGTGTTTGTGGCCCGTATGCGTGCCGCTGTCGACCACCTCGAGCCGGATGCGATCTCCGTCAACTGAAGCCACGGTGCCCACTGGCGCGTCGTCGGCTCCAAGTACGCTCATTCCCTTTTCAATACCAGATAGATTGTGCATAGCGGTTTCTCCTTCAAAAAATGTGTTAACTTATCCTACCTGCCCAAGTGTTTCACAGTCTTGCTATTGGGCAAGGTGATCAAAGGTCGCAACCGGAACCGGTCTCGCGCTCTGCAAATATACAGTCGAAACCAAGTGTGAGCCGTCAAATTTCCACACCCCAGGCAAGTTCAATCGATTCTGCTATCACCGAGCTTTGAAGGGATTGGCGTTGTGAGGCCGCCAGCCGACGGTCAAGGTGGACCGCTCAGTTTTGGCGGTGCGTCTTGCGTGTTTTTGGTTTAGTTTTTTTTGCCCTGTGCGCGCTGCTCATCATCTTCATGCTGGCATGGTGGATGCCTACACACCCGCCGCATTACTCGCTCACTTATCCGAAGCAAGATGTTGTCTCAGCAGGCGATTGACGATGACGGCAGCGTCTATGCTCGCACCCATCGCGAGGCCAGAAGCTCGGTTCCGCTGCCACGGCAGTCCCACAAAATAGAGACCGTCTACGGGGGAGATACCGTTGTCATGAAGCACAATATCATTTTCCCCCAATGCGTTTCTAATATCGAGAAATGACCAATCCGGCCGATAGCCAATCGCCCAGACCACTGCAGCGGGCAGCATCGATGACCCATCCGCGAAACGGACTGTGCCGGCGCCGACGCCCGTTGCTCGCGGCTTGATCTGAACCCCGGCAGCAGCCAGCTCGCTAAGCCGGCGACCGCGGTCAGGAAATGGATCGGCCGCCGCATTGTTTGGCCGCGCAGGGATTTCGTCGGCGCCCGCACAAGGCCCGTAACATCCAGCCACCACCACAGGCTTCGGCCCAACATGCGCTCGGGGAGGAGCCGCCTCGACCGTCCGGTGGCGAGCACCACGTCGCGTTTCGGTCGCGCAAGCATAGCTATGTCCCGCCCGCTTGCACCATCGCCTACGACCAACAACGGACCGGGTGGAAGGTCGTTTCCATCGCCGAAAACCTCGGCGGACAGTGCGCGCACCTCAGGCGGAAGTTCGGAGGCCCAAGACGGAACGATTGGATCACGGAACGCCCCAGTTGCCACGACGACAGCTGCGGCTGTGACGGGGTCGAAACCGGTTCCCGACACCACGAATTGCTTCCCATCTTTGCGGGTGACGGACAGGACAGTTGCGTCGTGCCGCAACGGCAGGCGGAAACGCGTAGCATAAGCCTTGAGGTAGTCGGCGAATTCATCCTTGTCCGGATAGAGATCTGGATCCCCGCTCATCCTCATTCCAGCCAGCCCGCTATAGCCTCGCGGCGTAAACAGCGTCAGACCGCAGTATCGTCGCCTCCACGAATCGCAAGTTCGTTCCCCGCATCGAGGACGATGAATTTCAGCCCGGCGTCCATCAGCTGACGGGCGGCTGCAAGACCTGCCTGTCCTCCGCCGACGATCACCGCATCGAAGTGCGATTGCCTATTTTCCGCCATCCGCTCCATTGCCTTGTGGTGGGCGTCGCTCAATCGAGGAGCTTGCGCACTTTTCCAAGCCGGATCTCGAAAGGCTCCTGATCGTCCAGGGTGCCCACGAAGTCGCCCTCCGTATCTGTCAGATAGATGCTGGCGCTGTGGTCCATGGTGGAATTACCACCCTCAAGAGGCACTTTCGCGAAATAGATGAAGCGGGACTTCGCCATCGCTGTCACAGCGTCGAGGCTTTTCGCCAGCCCAGTGATGCGCGCTCACCGCTCACCACCGCCGAAAACGGCAGGCGCTGCAGCAGACTAGGGGCGATGAGATACGCCATCGCGGCAAGAACCGAGAGCCAGAGCACTAAGTGGAAGGCTCTAAGAGCCAAAGGAGGCTTTGAATTCTTCATAGTCGTCTATCCTGACCAGTCCAGATCTGCTCCGCAAAGATGCTTGGCGGCTTGTCCCTTCGTTGCGCGACGCCAACTCAGCACAGGACGGGCACCCCTGCGGGCTGCCCCACAGTTGGTCCGACAAAAGACCGCCAAGGCTAACGGAGTCACACTTCAGTTTCCCTGGATTTGAGACTAGTGCCGGCTCGGGCGACCGCATCGCTCAGCGCTAGCAGCACCGCTCCAACAATCCATACGTGAGCGAGGTTAAGCCGAAAAAGTGGCGCGGAGGCCGGTCCGACAGACAGCAAGGTTGTTATAGTTCCGCTAAGCCATATCTCGAGCAGGTTGGCGGCCCCACCCGCCAGCAGCGCCGACCCGGCCAAATGTTCGGCGACACGGTCGCTGGTACCAATTCTGATAAGAACGACAATGGCAATGAACGCAACGGCAATAATCGGCCAGATCGGTAGGCCAGCATTGGGGCGAACCATATAGTCTATCGCTACGCCGGGCAGAGGAAGACGGAAGCCGTCGATCGCCCCAAGCAGTTCCACCGCCAGCGTTCTGGAGGCCAGATCGATCGCCATCAGCCAGACCACAACAAAATAAGGCACTATTGGTCTCATGCGCGGGTGCCGATTCCATTCCAGGCAAGGAGGCGCATGGCGACAGCGTATAGGATCGTTAGCTTTGGCTTGGTGGATTGCCTCCAGGGGCCGCCCACGAAGCCACTGTCGTGGCCGTGCATACCGGACAAGGCATCGGCCTGCTTCGGCTTCTTCCCCGGGCCATGACCGTGGCCCGCGTGGTCATGACCGGAATGGTCGTCTGCCGTCACTTGCGGCGTGTTGCCGGGATTGCAAGGCGGCAGAGGCGCCGTCTTGTAGCCGAGGCTCGTGCGCCTTTTGGCCATGACGCCCAAATCCTTGTGCTTTCCCGTCATGAACGCGCCCGCGACAGGAACCGAGACTTCTTCGACGCCGGGCAGGCACCGCACGGCGGTACTCGCGCAATCCATTCCTTCCATGCGGAAACGTGACGTCTCAACATTTGCCGACATCGCAGCCGCTCCTTGCAATCTTTCGGAAAGGAATACATCCTCTAGTCACTATAGGAGCAAGCGCAAAATGAAACACGGGATTGCAATCGGGAAGGTATCTGCGGCCAGCGGGGTGAAAGTGCCTACCATTCGCTACTACGAGCAGATCGGACTTCTAGCAGCACCGCCGCGCACGGGGGGCGGACGACGAAGCTATGACCGCAAAGACATAGAACGGCTGATTTTCATTCGCCATTCGCGAGAGCTCGGATTCGACATAGACGAGATCAAGACATTGCTGGCACTGCAGGATTCGCCCGATCAGTCCTGCGAAGAGGCCGATGCGATTGCCAATATCCATCTCGTCGAGGTCAAGAAGAAGATCGTCAGCCTCACCGCTCTGCAGCATGAACTGGAGCGCATGGTTGCAGGATCCTCCCACGGTCGGGTCGAGATCTGCAGGGTCATCGAAATCCTGGCCGATCACGGTAATTGCCAATACCACGGAGAGACGTGACAACCCAGGGCGCGACAGTTCAGCGCAGAGATGTGTCGAAAGCCGCCAAATGCGCCCATACAGGCCGCCAATCACGTGGACGTGAACGTTTCTGCCGATTGTTTGCCCTTTTCCATGCAATCAAATGCGGGCGCAAATAATGATTGAGGGCTGACAGATCGGATGCGGGGAGGACGGGGGATAGCCAGTGGACCGCGTGTCGGGTCTTTCAAGAGGCTAAGCATTGGCGCGATCAACTATGTCGACGAACCCGCACTAACCACGCGTTCTGCGGACGGAAATGAACCCGGATCGCGAGAACTGAGTGGCGCCTGGTTGGCCGGCACGGTCCTGACGGGTCTCACATCGGTTCTTCTGATGGGTGCTGCGCTTTATGTTTCATTCGCGGACATCGCGAGCTACTCGACAGCCTACAAATCGCTTGCAGTTGAGCGGCGAACAGCGCCCGCAGCCGCAGAAGGCAAGACAAGCCGGGCTCGTCCCTTGCTGGAGACCCGTTCCGACCGCGAGATTGTCGTTGCTAGCGTACTGGCTAGTGACGGTGGTTCGGGCATGATCCGCAATGCCTCATTCGTGCGTGTCTCCGCAACCCTGGCCACCTCCCAGACCGCCCTGACGGATGATATCGTCGTATATTCTCCTGAGACTTACATCGAGGCATTGCCCGAGGACGACTTCTCTCAGGTAGCGCAACAGATCAGCACGGACATTGTTGGGGCGCCTTCGGCAGAGGTGAGCATCACCTACACGACGCTGCCGTCAGGCTATGTGCCTAGGCCGACTATAAGTGATGCCCTGGCCGCTGCTCACGTAGGATCGCTGACATCGCCCGACTATGCGGCCCCAGACGTGGCGCTCGCATATTTTGGGGCCGACGCATCATTGAGCGCCGGTACCCCACTCGTAGGGGTGGCTGAAAACGTAACCGTCGTGCCCAAAACGGCGGCCACCGGAGGCAATCGAGCGGTGTCCGAACGCGTCATCAAGCTCGACGCCGATGCTCCGCTGCTTGACACCCTGGTTGCGAACGGCTTCACGCGGAACTCGGCCGCAGATGTGCAGGAGATGATCCAAAACCTCTATCGTCTCTCAACGCTTGAGGCCGGATCGCGCCTACGTATCCTTCTCGGTCCATCAAGCAGTGGCGCTGGCCTCGTCCCTTA